CGGTGGTTTATTTGGGGGTTTTTGGAAACCAGATTCCACATGGCAGCATTTATTTAGTTGAGTCAAATTTAGGCTATAAAAAGTTTAGTTAATTTCCATGTGTTTCTTCTTGTTTGCCTTTTACCAAGTACTAGGCTATTATTGAGATAATCACAAATAATTAAACTAGTGGTGCAGTTTATTCCATAGATTGTCTTGTTTAACTGCAATATAACCTGGACATGTCAAAAACCTATGCCTTTGTTCTCAAGATCCTGCTTTCTAATAGTAATGGAAATTTAAACATTAGAGGTGTGTACCTTACATATCATTTAGTAATCAGCTATAAGTCTCTGATCAACAGGTATTATGGAATACAGTTTTTAGATTTTTAAGCAGTCCTGTTTACTTGTAAGGCCACATTGTTTCAAGGAATGTTAGAAAAGGGCCATCACTAGATGGCAGTCTTTCTCTACCTTAAGGTATTTGTTAAAAGAGAAAAGCCACATTTTGTTCAACTGCAATGTTGACTACTGATATTAGATTGGCTTCAGTAGTAAATTTCTGACCTTTTCAGTGTTTAAGTCTTGTTTATTTTTGTTTTTAGCCTTTTATATCTGAAGGATATGTTGGTTAGCAAGGTGTTATAGTTAAATATTCTTGAAATGCTGTTTCATGGCGAACTGGTAGGTAGTGATCAGTTCATAATTGCCTTTTCCTTTGGTAGACAATTTGAAATAAAATCTTTCAATCTGTGGTTTTTAACGTATTTGATAACCAGATGGAAACTATGGGAAACTTTTTTTTTCTTAAAAATGCATATATGTACATCTACCTATATATACAAAATCCACATAGGATCTGGGAATCATGGATTTCCTGAAACATACCTGTGGAACATAAAGTCTCTTAAATATAGTCTTTATCCCCTGTTTTAAATATGGGTGTTTTACATTTTATTCTTTCTTTTTTTTAAATTCTCAAAATACTCTGGGGATCCACTGCAAACCTTTCATGTTATTCTGCATAATAATTAAATAGAATATTACAATCATAATGGTCCTAAGATAGGAGTAACAGATGGAGAGTAGTGATAAGCAGGTAGAAACTTTATTAACTTGTGTTTTATTTTGTTTTTTAAAGAAATGGGATCTCACTATGTTGACCAGGCTGGTTTCAAGCTCCTGGCCTCAAGCAATCCCTCTATCTTGGCCTCCCAAAGTGCTGGGATTAGAGGCATGGGCCACCACCACCGGTCCATTAACTTGTTTTGAACTACTGCCTATTTAGACTTCTACAAATGTATGATCTTAGCGTTATTGACTAAACTTGAAAATGGAGGTGAATTGTGGATACTTAAAGCTAAGCTAGTACTTTTAAGAGAATTGTAATTGATTGCTTCTTATTTTCTAAATGAGAAACTTGAAGGTCACAGAGATTAACTGGATTGGCCAAAGACTTATATAGAGCAAGCTAATTACAGTGCTAAGATGAAGGCCACATAGGCAACTAAAATCCACTTTCCTTTCTTAGGTTTTTGATTTTCTTTTTTTTAATGGGAAGATCAGAGAGCCTAGGGAGGCATTATTAATATAAGTTCTGAATTTCTTAACTTTGGAATTTGCTTTTCTGTGAGGTTGTCTTTTATGATGTTAACATAGATCTCTGGAGGGAAGAAATGAACAGAGGTTTTACCCGGTAGAATGAACTATACTTGCCATCTAACTTAGAAGTATACTGAGTCAAGTCAGGGTGTACTGAATTTGAAACCAAGAGATTGTCTAATATTGAATAATATATCAGCTTATGCAGTTTATTCTTCGCGTTCTCCAAGTTCTCCAAGTGTCAAGGTAAATGGGTATCTTTACATGGAAACCTTTCTTTTCCTTTCCTTTCAAAAGGGGAAAAGTTAAGCTTATTTGAGATTACTTGAAATGTCAGTGATAGATTCTGTTATGTATTCCAAACAGTTTTTTTCAGGCAAGTGGTTATTCTACAGTTTTCCTACTTGTCAAAGCAGGGATTGTTTATAATTTATTTGACAATCTCCCTTTATTTCAAAGGAAGGAGAATGAATCCAGATTGCTCTGCCTTTTCTGAAGTAAGTGTTCAGAATCTTGACTGGAAGCCAAACATGTACAGTCATATGTTGCTTAGCAGAGAGGATGTGTTCTGAAAAATGTATCATTAGGTGATTGTGTTGTGTGAACATCATAGAGTGTACTTACACAAGCCTAGATGGTATATAGCCTCCTACACACCTAGTTTATATGGTATAGCCTATTGCTACTAGGCTGCATACCTGTACAGTACGTTGCTGTACTTAATACTGTAGGCAGTTACAACATACTGGTACGTATTTATATATCTAAATATAGAAAAAGTAATGTGTTGCACTGCAACGTTACAAAGGCTATGACTTCACTAGATAATACAATGGGACCACCATTGTATATGTGGTCCATCATTAACTAAAACCTTATTATGCCGTACATGACTATTTGGTTCATCTATGGTTATTGCTGAGTTTTGGGTGGTAGAACTGACCTCCTGAGGGGGGTGTGGTTTCTGATCCACCGGATCAGGATAGGGATCCAGTACTCAGAAAGGATTATAGAAGCAGAAAATGTTGGCAATGAGCAAATGAGTATTTCTTGAACAAATGTCAGAAATCAAAGAGTCCTTAAAGATAGTGTTAGTCATTCTTTAGTCAATGAATGTTTACTTATTGTCTACTACCTGTCTGGCACTGTTATAGAGGTACAATATGGCAGACAAAATTCTTGCCCTTGAGCTTATAATCTAGTTGAGGTGGGTTGTGGGGAGGCAGAGATAGACAACATATCATGGACGATGAGGAGGAAGAGATTGTTCAAAGGTATAGGGGATGAGCATTACTAGTATAAGAACTGGAAAAACAAAATTCTTGAGGCAGGAAGAGGCTTTAAAAAAAGCCAGGGTAGCTGGAACATAGAGGATGGAAAGGAATTTGGGTGGGAACTAGAGAGAGGAGAGAAATGAGGTTAGAGAGGTAATTTGAGGTTACATTATATAGGGCCTTACAGGCAGCGATAAAGATTCAAGATTTTAATTCTTTTATAAAGGTAAGCTGTTGGAGAGATTTAAGCAGGGGATAACATCTAAATTATTGATTGAAAATGATCATTTTCGTTACTGTGTGGAGTGTCTGTTTTGGGGCAGGGGGTGGAGTACACACAAAGTGCAGAATGGAGACTGTTAGGAGGCTATTGCATTGGTCCATTGTGGTGGTAATATAGATTTAGATTGTGTTGTAGTGGAAATGGTGGAATATGGTAAATTTTAAGACATATTTCGGAGGTTGAGTTGTCAGGACTTATTAATGTATTGGATAGAGTATATGACGGAAAGAGATAGATTAGGAATCATTCCTAGATTTTTGGCTTGGGCAACTGTATAGTGCCTTTAGCTGTGATGGGGTGGGTAGGTTGTTGGGAAATTTGAGGAGGAACGGGTATGGGAGTGGAGATATGTTAGTAATAAAGATTTTTTTTTCTATATTAAATAATGAGATGGCTTTTAAAAACCCAATTGGAGTTAAATAGTAGCTGGATATTTGAATCTAGTGCTCAGGGAAATGCTCTGAATTATAGGTATAGATTAGGAAATCAGCACTACAGAGATGATATTTTAAAACCATGGAATTAGATGGCTTCACTTAATGAGAGAGCATAGGTGGAGAAGGGAAGAGGTTTTAGGAATACTTTGGAATGTAATAGAGGAGGAGGAGCTGAGAATGGAAATTGAGAAGGCACATCAGTGAGAGGTTAAGAAACATGTTAGTGTGGTATCATTGCAGTCTACAGGAGAGAGTGTTTAAAGAAGGAGAGAATATAAAACCATATCAAATGCTGCTATTAGGTGGAGTACAATGAATACTTTAGTCAAGTAAAGAAGTGAGGAAGTGGAAGGGAGTTTTGCTGGGAAGGGGAGAGGGATGTGTAGTTAAGGGCAGGATTTAAAAAGACATGTATAGGCTGTGCGTAGTGGCTCATGCCTGTAAATTCAGCACTTTAGGAGGCAAAGGTGTGAGGACTGTCCAAGGCCAGGAGTTCAGGATCAACCTGGCCAACATATTGAGACTTCATCTTTTGTTAAAAAAAAAAAAAAACAATTATATATAAATAAAAGTCATGTTTATATAGCCATGATAATCATCTAGTAAAGAGGGAGAAATATATGTTACCGAGGAGGGATAAAAGGGAAAACTTGCAGGAATAAAATTCTTGAGACAACAGGAGGGACTGAATTGCAGATAAGAGCTTGGAACACTTATTTTATCGTTACTGGAAGGTGGAGAGTAGGAGCTACAGATGTAAAGTAGACTGATTTTAGTGAGGGAAGAGGAGGTGGTTCTTTGTGTCTGTTTTTTTTCTGTAAAGTATATAGTCAGATCAGCAGCTGAGAGTGAAGGTAAGAACATTTGAGGAGAGGGCAAGGTAAGGTTCCCACACATAAATACTTTAGAATACAAAGTGGTTTTTCTGTGATGTGAGATGGGGGAATAGTTGTAGTAGGATTATCTAGCGATATTGACTGCCTAATTTAGATTTGCAGTTACATGGCTACCCTGAGTCTAGCCAGAACAGCTGTGTGTTTTTCTCTAGCTGTGTTCAACTTCTTGAATATAGTCATGGAGCAATTGGATAGTTGAATTTAACTAAAATGAGCTTTTCTAGACTACTTAAATTGAGAAAGAAAGGTACAAGGGAGTTGTAATTCAGTCCTCTAATTTTATGATGAGAATTTTGTGACGAATACTGTCAGGCACTCAAATATTCTGGAATGAATAAGAAAGCAAAAGTTTGGATTTTCCTTAAAAATACTGATTTAACAATGAGGCAATGTTAATATACAATTAGATTATTTTGTGGCTTAAGTGCCCTAAATATCTAAAAACCAAATTTGCTTCTGGATTTGTAATTCTGTTTTTCCTTCTTAGAAGTAACCGTGATATAACCTTCGTGCCATTTTTTTTAAAGGTCTGTTTATGATGGTGAAGAACATGGACGTTTCATGGAGAAGCTTGAAACTCGTATCCGTAATCACGACCGAGAAATTGAGAAAATGTGCAACTTTCATTACCAGGGCTTTGTGGACTCTATAACTGAACTGCTGAAAGTGAGAGGAGAAGCTCAGAAACTCAAAGTAAGAAGGCTCTAAGAGACACTGTTTCTCCGTCCTGTGTTGGGGTTTTCATTAGGATTAAAGGATTAAGGATTATAACGCAGAACACATATTTGTAGTGAAGATTTTTGTATAATTATAAAGGAATTTATACTGAAACGTACATTCTTGAGAGTATGGCTTTTTAGCTAAAAATGATACCCCCCCTTTTTTTTTTTTGAGACGGAGTCTTGCTCTGTCGTCCAGGCTGGAGTACAGTGGTGCGAACTCGGCTCACTGCAAGCTCCACCTCCCGGGTTCACGCTATTCTCCTGCCTCAGCTTCCCAAGTAGCTGGGACTACCGGTGCCCGCCACCACGCCCGGCTAATTTTTTTGTATGTTTCGTAGAGATGGGGTTTCACCATGTTAGCCAGGATGGTCTTGATCTCCTGACCTCGTGATCCACCCGCCTCAGCCTCCCAAGGTGCTGGGATTACAGGCGTGAGCCACCACGCCCGGCCAAGAATACCCTTTTAAGGTTATATTTTCATTGGGATAACTACATGTGGACCAGAACCAGTGATCAGTAGCTGGTTCTTTTAAACAGCAACTCAGTTTGAGTCTTCATGTTTCTCTATCCTTGCTGGATAAAAGCTGTCATTGTAGAATGACAGAATTTCAAGGCATTGCTATAAAATTCTTTATAGCATGCCACCTAGGCCAAAGAAAAAAACCAGTGGTTGTTGTGGAGGGTCTTCTACCAAAGAATGAAGGTTATTTCTTGATGTGACAGTTTAAGGTCCAGGAAGGAGGCTAGGCACATTTGTCTGGTCCCTGGCATAGCAAAGTCACTTACCTTAGATAACTCACTTTGCTTATTGATCTTAAATCTAACTACTTCAGTAAGCTCTTCTGTTATTTATAATACTTTATATGTAGTTTGAGTTTTCTTTGTAAATACTCCTCATATGATCTGTAAGTAATAACAGTTTTATTTTCTTCTTTCAAGTTCTTATGCTTTTAATTATTTTTTTCTTATTGAAATTTGAATTAGAATCCTAAAAGGATTTTCCTGGGCATGGGGTTAACTTGACAGTGAGTATAAAACTCATTTTAAAAATTATTGGTAAGGAAAGCAAAGACACAGTTTTACTGAGGGGCAAAGTGGGCTGTCAGACATTATATTGTATTCTAAAGCTATAATAATTTTAAAACTCGATTGTAGAACATGACCTAAATCATGTGAAACTATCAAATTTCTTATTTTATTTAGCATGAATTTTTGTGTTTTGCTGCAGAAATATTAGTGTGTTTGATTATGTGGTGCCATCCTACTCCCCATTGGGTAGGGGTATTATATAGTATCAATATTTACCTTAATATCTTTAAAAAATTTCAAAAATTCTTAAGTTTAAACACATTAGGTCCTAAGGTTTTAAAAAAGAATTTATGGACCTGTATAACAGTATCCAGCCATCTTAAGAAATATTATATTGCCATCACAATTAAATCTCTCATTAGTACCCCTCTCAGTTGTTTTCTCTACTCGAGAGGTAACAGTTTTTTGATTTATTGTTAATGTTCTTTAATGCTTAACTATTTTCATTTAAAGTAAGTTAGGTCTTTTCCTTATTCAACATACTAAAATTAAAGGACCTAAAGAGTTACATGTAAAATGTTATTAAAGGAACTAAAGAGTTAAATGTAAAAAATAAAACCATAAAAGAACTAGTAGAAAATGTAGGTGAATATTTATATTATTTTGAGACATTTCTAAACAAAATTTCTAAACCAGAAAGAAAAAATTGATATATGTAATAACATTAAAAGGAAAGAACCTATTGTACCTACAAATTAAAACTTAAAAGGCAGATAATAAAAAATACTTACAAACACATTATGGCAAATTGTTGATATCCTTATATATGAAGATTCTTGATAAATTAATAGGAAAAATGTGAACATTCTAATAGAAAACTGAGAAGTACACAATAACATACAGTTTACATAAGAAGAAATACAAAGGAGCTCTACAATTTAGAAACAAATTAAAGGAATGCAGATTTAAACAATAAGGTGCCAATACTTAAAACCCCACATAGTTTTAGGATTTATTCTAAGGCTGTAAGTGCATGTACAAGGATGTTCATATGATGTTTTCTTTTAATAGGTAAAACTTAAAAGTGTTCCTAACATCATTTAATAGAAGATTACTAAAAGAAATTATGGTACATCTATTTGAAATAATAATAAACTACAGTATAGAGGATATTTCACATTGGAAAGTATTAGAGATATTTGCTTAATGTATAAAGATGATTAAAATGTATGAACAGTATGACTATTTTTATAAACTACACATACTTTACATGTAAATAAATAAGCATTAAAGAAGATGAGAAGACTATATACCAAAATGTTATCAATAATCCCTTGATAATAAATAATTTTAATGTTTTCATTCTTGTGCCTTATGCCTCAGCCTCCCAGATAGCTAGGAATACAGGTGTGTACCGCCATGCCTGGCCAGTTTTTGTAGTTTTAGTAGAGATGGGGTTTCGCCATGTTGGCCAGACTGGTCTCGAACTCCTGTCCTCAAGTGATCTGCCCGTCTCAGCCTCCCAAAGTGTTGGTATTACAGGCATGAACCACCATGCCTGACCATATTAAAGAATCTTAATAGTGCGTCTTTCTATTTATTGGTCCATACATTTGTAATCCTTAAATTTTGTGGGCCGATTAGCCTCAGCTGAACAAAAGTACCTGAAATGCTTCTCTTTGTATTTTAAGTTTCCTGCAGGTTCAACTGACAATTTTGAATGTTCATTAGAAAATTCAGTGTTAAAGTGTACACATTAAAACAAAATTTTCATTACATATGGGAAAATGATAAGTTGAAATCCATGTTAAAAATGAGGAAGACTAAAACTAAGGAGATGATGAAGAAGGGGCAGACTGTGGAGATGCTTATGAGATATAGTATCTTATATATGTGGAATAGAGTCCATGACTCTCAGGTTTCTGGTTTGGGTGACCCAGTAGTTGGTGGTTCGAGTCACTCATATGGGGAATAAAATGGGGCCAGAATCTCATGAATAGTTTGAATCTTGTCTCTAAAAAATGTATACACGCATGAGAACATAGTGTAAATTGAGAACAATTTCTAATGTTTTAAACATTTCTGTATGTTTAGAACTGTTGTAAACATTCTAAAATGTTTCATCATTTTAAAATGAGAAACTTGAACTTGCTACCGTAAAATAACTTTTTTTTGTTGAGGCAGAGTCTTACTCTGTTGCCTAGGCTAGAGTGCAGCGGCTGATCTTGGTTCACTGCAATCTCTGCCTCCCAGGTTCAAGCAATTATCCTGCCTCAGCCTCCCAAATAGCTGGAATTACAGGCGTACCACCACCCCTGGCTAATTTTTGTATTTTTGGTAGAGACGGGGTTTCACCATGTTGACCAGGCTGGTCTGGAACTCCTCATTCTGGGAGTTCTCCCCACCTCAGCCTTTCAACATGCTGGGATTACAGGTGTGAGCCACTGTACCCAGCCTGAAATAACTTTTTAAATATTTAGTTTTCTGCTTAAAATGACTATATGCCATGCAAATGTAATCAAGACTTTAAAAATGATAACCTTCTTGAATTTCTCATAGACACTATCCAAGAGAACCTTTTCTTATAAGTAGATGATACAAAACATGGAATTATTTCTACATTTATTAAAAAAGTGAACCATCTGAAATGATATTAAAGAACCTGTTTTAAAAAAAAATTGTGAGACAAAGTCTTACTCTGTCACCTAGGCTACAGTGCAGTGGCACAATCTTGGCTCACTGCAACGTCTGCCTCCTGGGTTCAAGCAATTCTTGTGCCTCATGCCTCAGCCTCCCAAGTAGCTAGGACTACAGGCATGTACCAGTATGCCTGACCAATTTTTGTATTTTTAGTAGAGATGAAGTTTCACCATGTTGGCCAGGCTGGTCTTGAACTCGTGTCCTCAAGTGATCTGACCGTCTCAGCCTCCCAAAGTGTTGGTATTACAGGCATGAACCACCATGACTGACCATATTAAAGAATCTTAATAGTGCATCTTTCTATTTATTGGTCCATACATTTATAATCCTTAAATTTTGTGGGCTGATGAGCCTCAGCTGGACAAAAGTTCTGAAATGCATGTAAACAAAGATATGGGGTTTCCTGCCAGGACCTGTGTATGCTATTTATCCTCACCCAGCCATTGCATCTTCCTATACTCATCTTGGGCTGTTCTTTTTTATGCTCCTTTGATGCCTCTATCCCACACTTCTCCCATAGCTCCTTGGTGCCCTGGTCCATGATAGTCAGCACAATGTTTTGTCTCTGGTTATTGAAGTAGTCATGTAGTGGGATACCTCCTTGGCACAGTAGTACTGATTATAGCTCATAATGCTCCCGAATTGCTGATATCACTTGCTGGTTGGTACTCATCTTCTTTTCCTCTTGCTTCCCTTGCCTTCCATCAAATTTCTTCAAGTTGCAAATTCCTTCAACTTGCTGAGGATGCCCCAGCGGGAATACCTGAACTGGAGGCTACTGATTTAGGGTTTTAGTCTGTTTCAGGCTCCACCCAGTTACTTTGAGGGCAGAGGGGATTAATGTCTAGCAGGACACGTAGGAGACTCTGGTCTAGGGGGATCCATTTGACCTAGGTTCAGAATCTATGAAATAAAAAGTTTCCTGAACTCTAGAAAATAGTTTAGACAATGTAAAAAGCATTAACAACTGTTAATGCTATTTTAACATACCGATGAAAATAAATTGTACTCTAAGATGCCCGTTATTTGTTTTGATTCTCAGTGTATACATATACACACTTATCTTCTTTGAAATAAATGAAGTAGCATGCTAGATAGCTGGTATATTTTCTTTTTCTTTTTTAAAAATTTTTTGGAGACAGAGTGTCACTCTGTCACCCAGTATGGAGTGCAGTGGCATGATCTCGGCCCACTGCAACCTTTGCCTCCCTAGTTCAAGTGATTCTCCTGCCTCAGCCTCCCAAGAAGCTGGGACTACAGGTGCATGCCACCACGCCCAGCTAATTTTTGTATTTTTGTAGAGATGGGGTTTCACCATGTTGGCCAGGCTGGTCTCGAACTCCTGGCCTCAAATGATCCGCTGCCTCAGCCTCCCAGAGTGCTGGGATTACAGGCGTGAGCCACTGCGCCTGGCTTCTTTTTATTGTTATGCATTGAAATAGTTATTGAATGGTATTGACACAGTTATTATCTTTATTTTTTTGAGACGGAGTTTCGCTCTTTTACCCAGGCTGGAGTGAAGTGGCATGATCTTGGCTCACTACAACCTGTGCCCCTCACCCGGTTCAAGCGATTCTCCCACCTCAGCCTCCCGAGTAGCTGGGAATACCAGCTAATTTTTGTATTTTTAGTAGACACTGGGTTTCACCATGTTGGCCAGGCTGGTCTCAAACTCCTGAGCTCAGGTTGATCCACCTGACTCGGCCTCCCAAAGTGATAGGATTACAGGTGTGAACCATCACACTCTGCCCACAGTTATTATGTTTCTTACTGGAAGCATTCATTAGGTTCCTAGGAATATGTTTCAGAACGATGGTTTGCATGAAATTAATTTAGTGTTCCTTGATCAGTATTTTTGGCAAAAACTGAAATTAAATATAATCGAATTGAATAGAAAACAAGAGAGTGTATTACATGTACTAAGGATAAACATTGTTTCTTGAAAATTGTGTGTGTGTTCCCTATACTTGTGTACTGAGTTGCAATGGAAAATGTATTTTTTACAGTGAGTTTAAGGTGAAAAAAAGTGAAAAATGGTTCCTTCATAAGGCAAATAAGGCTACTCTAGTAGACAGTGTTGCTGAATTTACGAGTATTATGGAGGGTTGAATTTTGGGAGATCTCCAGTTTAGGATAAAAAATATCTAATTTGCTATTGAATAACTACTATAATGGGGATAGCATTATCACCCAAGGAAGCCATTATGATTTTTATTCACATTGCTTGAACGCTTTTTCTTATATTGAGCTGAATACTGTTTTCTAGTAACAAGCATTGGTTTGAGTAATAAGCTCCATTTTTAGGGAACCACTTTACTTCTGATAGCTCTTCAGATATTTGAAGGGCAGCTATTGTTTAAATATGGTTTATAGTACGTAGGATCCAGGTACGGTGTATAGTGTCTCCAAGTGAATATTTTTCTCCTCTTTTGGCTAAAAATTGTTTCATCTGTTTTTCATGTGGTATAGCTTTGACTCCCTCTCCAAATCTGTTCACCTCTAACCATGCTTCAGCTTGTAAAGCCCTTCTTAAAATGTGGCATCCAATTGTAAATTTCATAGTGTGGTATTACTACCTTACCATCATGCTTATTCTAGACCAGGGGTTAGCAAACTCTGTCTCTTAGGCCAAATCCAGCTTGCCCCCTGTTTGTGTAAATAAAATTTTGTCGGAACACAGCCATGACCTTTCATTTACATGTATTTTCTTTATGGCTGCATTCCTGCTACAGAGGTAGAGTTGAATAGTTACAACAGAGATTGTATGGCTTGCAAAGCCTAAAATATTTGCTATCTAGCCCTTTATGGAAACAGATTGCTGACCCCTGTTTAGACAGTGCTTCTGTTAACATTGTCTTGGATGTGCATTTTGGATGGCTTTATCACTCTTAATTTGTATTGAGCTCAGTGCAATAAAACCACAAAGTGTTTCACAGGTGGTGCCATTAAGTAAATAATAAAGAGGGAATTTGCTGGTTTTTTTGCCTCCCTTTCTGGTACTTTAAAGAGGCTTCCTGGAGGAGTTCACAGTTCATTTTGTCTTTGGATGGAGGTGCAGATGGTAATCCGCTTTGAATGATAGTCCAGGTATAGTGTATAGTTCAGAGCAGTGATTTCAGAAGTGTGGTCTTTTAAAAAACTAGCTCCTTGAGAAGATCTTCAGTTAAAGGGTATTATGTCAGATAAATTTAGAAAAGATCCTATACGATATCCCTTTCTTGGGCATTTACAGTGCATGTCATATCATGTGTGTTTGTGTGTGTGTGTGTGTGTCTGTGTGTCTGTGTTTGTGTGCTCATGTGTGCATGGCTGTGTGCATGTGCAGAGTACCTGCTCACTAACACTTCTTGATGTCCTAAGGGACATAATAGGAAATGCTAGGTTAGGGGATGCATTAAAAGTATAAGGTGTAGCAATTGCTGGTGGAAGGCTAGAAAGCCTTTATTAAACAACATAATAGAAGTTAATATTGCTTATGTTTTGATATCACAGATGATGAGGAAATTACTATTCTATATAATTAATTTTTTCCATCATTGAAATGTCAAAAGTGGGTATCAAAAAAAGTAGATGCCATTTCCTTTAATAATGAACTCTGGATCATTTAAGGGCGTATTCACAAATTTTTGACTATCTGATGGAGAGACTATGTTGGAAAAATGGAAGTATGGAAGTGTTAGGAGCTGTTCAGAATTAATGATCCAAAAATAATTTAGGTAAAGCATTTTCTAAAAATAAAATAATAAGCAAACAGGGAAACTATGACTTGAGTTAAAAAGTTCAGTGTATACCCAACTTTTCTAGGAATACATTGGTGAAATGAAGAATATCTATGATAAAATTTGTTCTTTCTATTTTATTTTCCTCTCCCCTTTTTCCGCTTGTCTCCCCAAAGTTAAAGTGTGATCTTCAGTTATTATAGTATCTTAGTTTAGAATTGTTCTAAACTCACCATATTTTTTAGTAAATTTTTCTTTTCAAAAGGTCATGCAAACATCCAGTAGAAAAGTTGACATAATTTAAACCCAAGAGAATGCCACTGGACCAATATGTAGTGGAATACTGAAAATATCTAACTACCTATTCCCATTCTTTTCATATTAAATTTAGATCTTTTTCAACTATTGTCTAAATGTTTGTTTTTTATGAGTATAAATTGTCTTCTCTCCACAGAATCAAGTGACGGATACTAATAGAAAACTACAACATGAGGGAAAGGAAGTAAGACCAGTTTACCTTTTGAAGAAATCTTTTCTGTTTCATGCCACTCTTTTTTAATGACTATGTTATTCATTTAGTGGTTAAGACTGTAAGTAGTATGTTGGAAGTACTTGGACGTTATTGTTGCTCTTCCTAATGTTTATCTAAATTAAATGAATGTAGTCACTGGGAAGTCTAAGGAGAGAGGATACAGCCTTCTTAGTTGTGCTTTTAGATCATTGACTTGTCATAATACAGTAATGCTCTTCCTCTGCCTGGAATGTTATTTCCTCAATATTCACCTTCTTCAAATCTTTGCTCAAATGTTGCCTTCTTACCTTATTTGAAATTGTGGTCTCACTCTTACCCGTGCATTCTTTTGATCCTTTCCCACTTTTTCTTCATTGTGCCTGTCATGCTCTGATATTATATTTAATATATTTTTACTTATATATATATATTTTTTGCCTGTCAACCTCCATTGGAAATTAAACCCCATGGGATTAGAAATTTTTGTTTGCTTTATTCATTGCTGTATCCCTTCCATCTACCTAAATAGTGACTGGCACAATGTGGATGCTCAACAAATATTTATTTAACAAATTAATCAACCAGGCACAGAGGCTGAGATTATATGCTGTAATCCCAGTGCTTTGGGAGGCTGAGGTGGGAGGATCACTTGAGGCCAGGAGTTTGAGATCAGCTTCGGCAACATAGTGAGACCCCATCTCTACCCCCAACCCCCCCAAAAAAAACCAAAAAAAAAAACCAAAAAAAAAAAAAGAAAAACAACCATAACCAGGCATGGTGGTGCATGCCTGTAGTCCCAGCTATTTGGAAGACTGAGGTGGGAGGATCTCTTAAGCCCAGGAGTTTAAGGTTGCATTGAGCCATGATTGCGCCACTGCACTCTCAGCCTGGGTGATGGAGGGAGACCCCATCTCTATCCCCCGACCATTAAAAAAAATCGTTGATTCTATTAATTGACATATTTACCATTTAAACCATCACAGTTTATAATATTATTTTATATCTATTTGCTCATTTGATCCTCATGGCCGACAAAATCAGGACAGGTATTATCACTGTTTGATTGATGAGGAAACTAAAACAAATGATTTGCTGTATTTTACATAGTTATTGGCAAGGCTGGGACTAAAACCTGGGTTTTCTGACTTGTAGTACATGACTGTTCTCTGTTATCATGCTTCTTTCTTATCACCTAATACTTTTAAAATGTTTAATTTTAATAACCTTTAAGATTAGCTTTTGATTGTTTTATCAGTGACTTACTCAGGACCATTCTCTGGTTCTCTTCTGCATGGTATCTAAGCAGATAACAGTTTTAGGTATGGGTGTAGGATGAATGCTGCAAGTAGATGTGTAGATTATTACTTTTTAAAGAAGTTTGTCTCACATTCTAAATTCTGTGGAGTACAATTTCTTCTAGTTATATTATGGTATGACTTCTGATAGAAGCCTTTAAAACTGGAGCTAGAGGAATAAAAGTGAGTTACTTTTCACCAAACTGTAATTTTTAGAAAAGCCACATCTTTTAAGTGTGTGGTTTATTTGTTGAAATAGAGATTTAGTTGAAGATAGTTTTTTTTTTTTTTTTTTCTCCTGGATAACCCTTGTATTTTAGGACTTCATTTTACCTAGCCCTTCCTAGTATTGTATGTATCTTGGGGAGAAAGCGGGAAACTGTGCAGGAATGTTTTACTGGTTAAGAAAGGCAGTTCTTTAGTTCACTTGGCAGGTCTTACTAAGAAACTGTCTGGGTTTTTATGATGAATTGAACACAGTGTGGAAAAATGTGACTGAAAGCTTTTTATTTACAGCCATTGGCATAATTCAGTCTTTTTCCCTCTTGCCAAGCTGGTAATAGCAATGGAAGAGCTGAAGCAGTGTCGACTACAACAGAGAAATATTTCTGCCACTGTTGATAAATTAATGCTGTGTCTTCCAGGTGAGGAACTGGAAATGGAGAAGGATTTTTGGTGTAATTTTTTTGCTTTAATTAGGCTTTCTCTAAATCATGTTTGTGTTTTCTTTTCTTTCTTTTAAGTCCTAGAGATGTACAGCAAACTGAGGGACCAGATGAAAACTAAAAGGTAAGATTTTTTTTTTAATGGAACAGTTTTTACTACCTAAAATTTCTGTTATTTAGAATACTTTTAGGTCCATATTTAGCATAACTTTTCAAAAAATAATTAAGTTTCTAACATCTTCTTAACCTTTTGTATATTTATTGATTTGTTATAGATTTATTTATATATATATGTGGTATGCTAATGTGTTCTGTCATGTATTAGGTTTAACAAATAATACTTACAGTTAGATTTTTTAAAGACCCAGTCTTTTTTTTTTTTTTGAGACAGAGTCTCGCTCTGTCGCCCAGGCTGGAGTGCAGTGGCACGATCTCCACTAACTGCAAGCTCCGCCCCCCGGGTTCACGCCATTCTCCTGCCTCAACCTCCCGTGTAGCTGGGACTACAGGCGCCCGGCACCGCGTCCGGCTAAGTTTTTCTGTTTTTAGTAGAGACAGGGTTTCACAGTGTTAGCCAGAATGGTCTCAATCTCCTGACCTCGTGATCCGCCCTTCTCGGCCTCCCAAAGTGCTGGGATTACAGGCGTGAGCCACCACGCCAGGCCAAGACCCAGTCTTCTAAGGAAAAGCATATACCTATTTTAGTGATAGTTGGTTTGAGATATGTTTTGATTTATTTAATAGTGTCGTAGAAAAAAATAGTACTGGTTTTGGTGCAAGAGTACATTAGCTGGGGTTCTTCAGAAAAACAGAACCAATAGCGTGTGTGTGTGTGTGTGTGTGTGTGTGTGTGTGTGTGTGTGTGTGTGTGCGCGCGCGCGTATCTCTGTCTGTTTACCTACTGGAGAGGGATGTATTTATTTTAAGGAATTGGCTCACATGATTGTGGAGTATAGCAAGTATAGCAAAAGCTGCGGTGTAGTCTGGCAAGCTAGGGTCCAGTGAAGAGTTAAGATAATAGCTTGAGTTCCAAGGGGCTCTTCTGTAGAATTCCCTCTTCCTTGGGCACAGTCAGCCTTTTTCCTATTAAGGTTTTCACCTGTGGTGGAATGAGGCCTACTCACATTATGGAGGATAATCATCTTTACTCATAGTCTACTGACTTAAATGTTAATCTCATCTAAAAAATACCATCACGGAAACATCTAGAATAATGTTTGACCAAATATCTGGGTCCAGTGGTCAGCCAAGTTGCCGCATAAAATTAACTGTTGTAAAGGGGAAGGGTGAAGTTAAATTCAGAGGATTTCTCTTCTGTATGTTGTTTTCTTCTAAAGGAAAATCTGCAGTGACTCTATAGTTCTGCTCCCCAAACTAGAATAAGCATCTCCCATCTCTCTACCCTGAGATGCCCTGTAGTATGATGGGGATATATGAAGCTGTAGGATAAACAGAGCATGTCTTCTTGGAATGTTAATTTTACCTAGGTTTTGAGGGAAAAAGTATACATTTAAAATATATTTAATATTGAGATAAGAATAGAAATATTATGGATAAAAATTCAAAATTCTCAAGAATTTTGAAGCTGAATCATTAGACATTAAAATAGGAGGACATGCTCTCATAAGAGAACATGGATAGAACACTATGAGAAGTTCTGCCTGTGATATGAAAGTAATATTAGTTCCCTAATATCCTTTTAGTAAAGTTCTAAAATTATAGAGAATTTAAAATCACCTGTGAGCCAGGTGCAGTGGCTCACACCTATAATCCCAGCACTTTAGGAGGCTGAGGCGGGTGGATCACTCGAGGCCAGAAGTTTGAGACCTGCCTGGTCAACACGGAGAAACCCCATCTCTACTGAAAAACAAAAAAAGGAGCTGATTACAGGAGGTGGTGCACACCTGTAATCCCAGGAGGCCAAGGCATGAGAATTGTCTCACATAATAGCTCGCATTCCGGAGGCAGAGGTTGCGATGAGCTGAGATTGCACCACTGAGCTCCAGCCCGGGTGACAGAGTGAGGCTATCTCAAAAAAAAAAAAAATTCACCTGTGTACCAACTTCTCGGAATTAACAGATATTAACAATTTTCCAGTTTTGATTCATATATGTGTAAAGAAAAAAATATGTAGTATATATATAAAACATATATATGGACAGAAACAGGTATATATATATATATACACATACACTTTAAAAAATTACAGATAAAATTTATGTTCCCTTCTTCGGTCCTATTCCTTTCCTTTCAGTCCTATTCCTTTCCCCTGAGGAAACCAGTATCATAAATTTCTTGAATGTTCTTTTAGTCTGTGCTTTTAATATTTATAAATCATATATTGTTTTGTTTTGTGTTTTAAAAAGTTTATGTAGATGATTCTCAGTCCTCATTTTGAGATCTGTGTATTCACTCAGCAAAGATGAATCAAATACCTACTATGTGCTAGGCATTGCTCTTGGTGCTGGGGATACAGCTATGAATAAAATGGATAAAAATATCCACCCTTTGGGGCATACATACTAGTAGGCAGCTTATTTTCTTTATGTATATAGACACAGTTTGCTCATTTTAATCTCTCCATGGTAGTCTATTATATGAATAATTCACATTTCCCCTGCCAGTTCCAGTGATTATCATAAATGCTGTTCGCCAGTATTTCTAGCTGCTTCCTTTGGTGCAAGGTAGTATTATATTTCCTGGGTTCCCTGTGTATATTTACTGGGTTCCCAGTTCCATGTGACTTTTTCTGGCTGATAAGATGTGAGCAGAAGTGATATGTATCACTTTTGGGCTTAGCATTTAATTTCCCTCCAGAGTTCTCTTATTTTCTCTTGTTCTTGAAAAATGGCAACTCCAAGATGCTGGTTGAGTCCCTGAGTAACTTCAGAGAGCGTAGCCTACCTGCCAACCCATTGTGAATGTATAACATGAGTAAGTTTTAAATCTTTGTTTTAAGTCACTGAGATTTTGGGGGTGGTTATTACTACAAGATAACTATCCTTACTGATACTGTTAGGGACATTTGGTATGTTTCCAGTAGTTATGACAGACCGTGGTACAATAAATATCCTTGTTCTTGTCTCCTTGGACTCACATTCAAAATTTCTTGAGAGTGTTGTTCTTTAGATGCTTCTATGCATGGAAGTGGTATCATGAGGGATTAGTTAAATACAGATTCTGATAGAATAGGTCTGGCTGGGGTCATTCCTGAGATTCTGCATTTTTTGCCACAATCCCAGGTGATGTCAATTCTGTTGGTCCAGGGTCTATACCTAGAAAGAGATCAGCTGGATCAGAGAAAGGGTTTATATGTCTTTGATCTTATTGTTGTTCTCTATGGTGATTTCCCCATTTATCCTACCATTGGTATTTTGTGGGAGGTCCTGTTACTCTACCTCTTGGTAACATCTATATTGTCAAACTTTTGGTTTTTGCCAGTCTGATGATTGTGAAATGATAGATCACTATTGTGATTTTTATTTTATTTTTATTAGATTATTAGTGAATTTAGGTTTTAGGCATTTGGGTTTTCTCTCATCTACTTGCTGCCCACTTTTAGGTTGTTTATTATTTTCTTTTTCATATATAGGAATTATATACTTTGGATGCCTTTTCCTGTTATATATTGTCTTCCAGTGCATGGCTTACCTATTAACATTATATAATTAGTAGTTTTTGTTGCATAGAAATTTTAAGTTTTGGTATAATCAAATTTATTTTGTGGGTTTCAAAAAATTTTGTTTTTAGACATTCTTAACTTCAGTATAAATAGCAGTGTCTTTTTCTTGAACCAGTTGAAAGTAAGTTGCTAACATGACACACTGTCATCCCCAATTACTCTAGTATGGTTTCCTACAGAAAAGACATTCTTGTGTGCAACCACAGTGCAGTAGAGAATGGACATTAGCTTTGATAGATTTCTAGCATTAACTGGCATACGCAGTTCAAGTTTTGTCAATTGTCTCAATCATGTTCTTTCTAGCAAAAGAATCCAGTTCAAATCACAAGTTGCTTTTAGTTGTCATGTCTCTTTAGTCTTTTTCAGTCTGGAACTGTCCTCGGCCTTTCCTTGCCTTTCATGACTTTATTACTTTATTACTGTTGAAGATTACAGGTCAGTTATTCTGTAGAATGATCTTGCTTTCTTTAAAAATTTCTCATCTGACCATCTCTGTTTTTAAATAAGACTGTTTAGATCTTTTACATTTCATGCAATTATCAACATAGGCATTTAAATCTACTGTCTTCTTTTATATTTTCCATTTATCCTACCTGTTCTTTGTTCCTTCTCTGTATTCTTGTATTTTTAAAAAATCAATTTCTATATTTCAGGTTGTTGTTTTATATTTAGTAATGCCCTATTATTTATACCTCTTAGTTTTACAATTTTTCCTTGGTATCCTCAGTGTATTGGTTACAGGTGCCTTGGGATAGGGGACTAGGTGTAGATGCTTAAGTCCCTTATATAAAATGGCATGGTATTATCATATAACCTACACACATCCTCCTAAAACTTTCAGTCATCTCTAGATTACTTAGAATACCTAACAAAATGTACATGCTATGTAAGTAGTTGTTACACTGTTTTGTTTTATTTGTGTTTTTAAAAAAATATTTTTGATCAAAATAGTTGATTGAATTCACAGATCTGGAACCTGCAAATATGAAGGGCCAGCTGTATTTTATTTTTTTCGTGGTTCCTTCTATCTTTACAATGTGTAACTTACAATGAGTCTTTAAATATTACACCAAATCACACACAATGCAAGATTCTTATAATGATATTCTTCCATTTTACCCTTCTTTATGTCATTGTTGCCATGTTATATTCTTCCATTTTACCCTTCCTTATGTCATTGTTGTCATGTTATTATTGTTATGTTATTATGTCGTAAGACCTGTGACAACACAGTGCCACACATGCTCATTTTTGCTGTAACTTTTAAAGAAATTTAAAAATTAAAGAGAAAAACTCTCATATATTTACCCACATTATTTTAAATGTAGATCCAAGTTTGTATCTGGTATTATTTTTCCCCTTTGGTTAAATGACATCCTTTAATATTTCTTGTTGGATCAGTCTGCTGGCTATGAATTCTCTCAGAAATACAGTATTTCTGA